TTGGATCCCCAATCCGCATCACTATAAGCTTCCAGTTTCAGAGAGTTGGCAGAGGGGTAAAACAATCCATGAGACACTGTGCCTTTTAAGTATCTCAACACATGTAGAAGAGCCTCTCCATGATCTGTACAGGGTTTATGCATGTGGTGACTGAGCTGTTGCACTGCAAAAGTAATGTCAGGGCGGGTGAAGTTAAGATACAGCAGCTGTCCAACCAATCTTCTGTACCCAGATGCATTGTCCAAAACAGGACCGGGATCATCAGAAAATTGGTGGTTCTTTGGAAGAGGAGTACTAGCAGCTTTGCAGCCAAGCATGCCAGTGTCTTGTAAGATGTCTAAAACATACTTCCGTTGATTCAAGTACAATCCATCAGGAGACCGAGCAAGTTCAATGCCAAGAAAATACTTCGCATACTGCAAATCTTTGATGGTAAACTTCTGATGCAGGAACTGCTTTACCTTAGTGATGACCTCTTCATTAGCTCCAGTGATTAAGGCATCATCAACGTAAACAATAAGAGCAGTAAAGGAACCTTCAATGCACCCAGTGAACAAACAAGGGTCATTTGCAGACTGTTTGAAGCCAAAAAATTGAAGCTGCTGGGTAAATTCAACGTTCCACTGACGCGATGCCTGTTTCAAACCATATAAGGATCGTGCCAGCTTACAAACCTGTCCTGGTTTAGCCTTGTGATATCCTTCTGGTGGTTCCATATAGACTTCCTCCTCGAGAAAACCATGGAGGAAGGCATTATTTATATCAATCTGATGGAGAGGCCATGCGGAAGCTGTAGCAATAGCCAAAAACAGTCGAACAGTGACCACTTTAGCCACAGGAGAAAAACAATCATAGAAATCCTCACCTTCAACTTGCGAATATCCCTTCGCTACCAACCGAGCCTTGAATCTGTCGATAGAGCCATCTGGGTTATGTTTAATCTTATAAACCCATTTGCTGCCTATAGCAGTTTTCCCTGGTGGTAAGACAGTCAAACTCCAGGTATTATTTGTTTCCAACGCATCCAGTTCCAGGTTCATGGCCTTAACCCAATCTGGATTTAACCGAGCTTGAGAATAGCATTTCGGTTCCTTAAAGGTACTGATCTGCGCTAAAAAAGACACATGGTTTGCAGAAAAATGTGAAGGAATATGATAGGGAAAAGTATCAAGTGTATGAGGAGAGGATACAGGATGGGTAAAAGAAGTGGTAAGAACAGGGTTGGCATAGTGTGCATAGTCGGTATGAAAGTCTTGCAACCAGCTAGGGGGTTTGCTAATTCGAGTACTTTTTCTGGAGGGTTCTGGAGGGGTAGAAGAAATAGAAGGATGCTGAGAAGATATTTCCGGATTGGAATTAGTAGGAAAAATAGATTGATCAGTTCCAGAAGAAGTAACGGAGAAAGGGTTTTCAAGAGGTGGATTATTAGCTGGCGAAGGAACAGAAATGGAGGCTGAGCTTGAAGAAGCTGAGGGATTGAGCCACGAATTTTGATCATACGCGAATGGAAACGTGGAATCTGGAACATGTTTGTCAAATGAAGATGAATTCAAATAAGGGAAAATGGACTCATAAAACACCACATCCCGAGAGATAAGAACCTTCTTACAATCTAAATCATACACTTTATACCCTTTTTGACTTGCTGGATATCCCAAGAATACACATTTATGAGCTCTAGGGTCAAATTTATCTTTCTGTGGATGGATGTTGGTTGCATAGCAAAGGCATCCGAACACCCGTAAATGGTTGAGATCTGGGGCTTTAGAAAACAACACCTCATGAGGAGATTTCCAGTGTAGAAGAGATGAGGGAAGTCGGTTAATAAGATAGGTTGCGGTGAGAATAGAGTCCCCCCAAAAAATTTTTGGCAAGCCGGATTGGAAAAGAAGTGATCTAGCAATTTGTAAGAGGTGCTTGTGTTTTCTCTCCACAACACCATTTTGTTGTGGAGTGTAAACACAAGTTTTTTGATGTATAATGCCAAGGCTACTGAATAATGATTGACAATCAAAGGAGGTAAATTCTGTGCCATTGTCAGACCTTATAGTCTTGATTGACACTTGAAACTGAGTTTGAACCATTGCAAGAAAAGTTCTGAGAATACTAACAGTTTGAGTTTTATTATTCATAAGAAAGGTCCAGGTACATCGACTAAAATCCTCTACTATAGTCAGGAAATAGTACGCACCATTCAAGGTTTTGGTTTTATAAGGCCCCCATAAGTCAATATGAATCAACTCAAATATAGATTTTGTCTGTATACAACTGTTTGGAAATTCTAATCTATGTTGTTTTGACAATGGACAGACATTACATATGTCTTGATCAGGCTTACTCTGTGAAAGAAAACCTAATTTTCTAAGTACTAAATCTGACACATGCCCCAGTCTCATATGCCATTTAGCCGGATTATTTTCAGCTGCTAGGTTGGAGTGATGGAAGCAAGTTGGAGAATGAAAGGATGATTCACATGATCTTTGATGAAGAGGTTGATAGTGGTATCTGAAAAAGATGTTGAATCTAAGACGTATAGCCTGTGCAAAACCTTGCCTACAGCAACCAACTTTCTAGTCGCTTGGTCCTGTAGCAGGCAAAAGGAAGTGGAGAAAAAACAGTCAATTTTGGATGATGAGACTAGTTGGTTGACTGACAAAAGGTTATATCTGAAGGAAGGAACGTGTAGACACTCAGGCAGTTCTAAAGTCTTGGAAAGTTTTACCGTTCCTATATGTTCCACTCCTTTTACACTACCATCAGGCAATCTAACAGGTGTGAATTGAGTTACAGATCTATAATCAGCGAAAAATTTAAGGAAAGCAACCATGTGCCCCGTAGCACCAATATCTAAGAACCAAAAATAAGCTAACTCTTTATCAGTCAAATTGAGAGCACTTAAAGCTTGAAATGTAGCCATACCTGCGAACTCATGAAAGTGTGCAAAGTTGATCTGTTCTCCTTCCTTTCCCGCAGCCTTTCCTTTCATTATCCTTGACATCTCCTGTTGCATAAGTTTCATCATTGACATCATACTATCACCATTAGCCTGTAAACCTGTTTCCTGGTCAAACGGAGTTTCTGCAAGATTTGCCATGTTCCTACTAGTAGCTTCTGCCTTCTTCCTTTCTTTGAGTCCTTCCCACCAATCCGGGTATCCAATGAGTTTGAAACAACCTTCCTTGAGATGTCCTGTTCCTCCGCAATTATCACATTTCATCAGTTTCTTTAATGCCTTGTCCATCCTAAAGGTATTCTCCTTTCCCAGAGTAGATGTAGACTTATAACTTGCAGGCTTATAATTCCCAGGCTTATAATTTGCCATATTTCCTGCATTTCCTGTATTTCCAATCCCTGTATTTCCTACATTTATCGGTTTTCTCTGCACCATCATAGCACTTTGCTCCATAGGTTCAACATACAGTTTATTCACTATCTGTTGTTTTTCTATGTTAACAGCCATAGAGTATGCTTTCTTAACAATCGGCAGTGGATCCATCATTAAAATCTGATCCCTTACTCTAGCATATGAATCATTCAAGCCACTTAAAAATTCCATCAGTTTATGCCTGTTTTCCCTTACATTATTCTTACTCAGATTACAAGTACACTCATCCATTGGATCTAAGCAATTTAACTCATCCCAAAGACGTTTCAATTTTGAGTAGTAAGCTGCCAGAGAGAGATTACCTTGTGATATTGTGGCTACCTCCCTTCTCAGGTGATATATCTGCGGTCCATTGATTATGCCAAATCTTTCTTGTATCTCATCCCACAGCTCTTTTGCATTGGTAGCTAGATCATAGTTGTCCACCAGTTCATCAGAAATCAAATTTAGAATCCAAGACACAACCGTGCCATTCACCCTGTGCCATTGCTCACGATCTGGATGCCCTATCGGTGGTTCACCGACGCTTCCATTAATAAAACCTAGCTTGTTCTTCGTTCCGAGGAATCTTCTCGTCTTGTGACTCCACGAAACGTAATCCAGATCTGTCAATTTGTTGGAGACGACCACCATTGATGAATTGTCTGACGGATGCAAGAACAAAGGGTGAACATAACCTCCTCCTCCATAGTTTGAGTAAGCTCCGTCATCTCGCCGGTCTTCAATCCGACACTCTCTTTCATGATTCAAATCCATCTTCTGCTGAAATCGCGATTCCTAGGGTTTCCGCTTTCGTCCAACCGCCAGAGATTCGTTCCGATCAACCGGTCCGTAGCCTGGTTCTGAGCAGGATCTAGTCCTGCTCTGATACCATCTACAAGTTTTCAATCTGAAATTTGGAAAGAGAATTGAACCAAGAAGGAACAGGATGTTCTTCAATCCAATTTGGGGAAAAAAACCACTGTATTATTTTGTTCTGTATTTTTTCTATACAAATAAAGCCACGACTTGGCTTTAAATACCCCCAACACTATTACACAATCAACCCTCTAGTTCTACATATTTACAAGAGCATCCTTATTCAAAAACTATACATTCTATACACATTTACACGGCTGAACTTCTCCTTCCTGTATTTTGGCGGGATAATCTCACCGCCTTAGCTGGATTTAGCTGGAAGCTTCCATTTGTCCTAAGATTGTAAATACTTGCAAGTTTAGTCGGTTAACTGGATATATATATATATATATATATGTATATATATCCATACATTTCATTCTTTGTAATCAGATTGATAATTCCAGTTTAATAAAAGAAACAATTCTCTTTCATTTTCAGATTTTCTGGTTCTTCCTGTCTTTCAATTTCCTTCGTGAATTTTCAGTTTATACTTTTGATTATGGTAGAAAATCATCAGTTTATACTTTTGATTATGGTAGAAAATCATCGTTTCATCAGGTAGTGATCGGCCTCCTTATGAAGCCTACGGGTTTGGCAAAATTATGAAGCCTCCCAACCGATGGGCATAGAATTAAGGTTTAAGAAGAGAACGATCAAATCGGGCCACAGATTTTGTGGCTAATCTAGTTCAAGAACATCAAATCAATCCTAGATTGTGCGTTCAGATGACCAAACAATGAAGAGCCAGAGACCAGAGAACAGAAATGGGAGTCAGTGATCTGATGTCAGTGACAATCATTCTCTTTGTGTACAACTATAGTCGTCCTTTGGTGTTGGAAATAGAATGTTTCATGTTCTTTAGAAACTTATTTGCGAAATAATGTCACTGCTTAAATTTGTTTACGAAGCGTAATTCACGTTAGACATCAAAACTTGCTAACAAGTAACACAGCATACTGAATGAAACTTTGCCCCACAAAATCTGTTTCCCTCTTATCAGTTCGACAACAAATCACTCGCCTTAGCTAGCTTAAATTAACTCTGAAAATAAAAATCAGAACATAGATCTAGATCAGAATCAACTCTCGGTCTGCTCTCTCAGCCTCCTGATTGTGCTCCTAACTGTCACAGCACTAGCGGTACTGTTGCACAGAGGAAAATGGAAAAGAGAAAAACATGAATTAGTGAATTTTGCCCTCCAAAAAAAATAAAATAAAATAAAGAGAATGGAAGTAACATATCAGAGGACTGACTTCATTGTGTATGCACCGCCAGCTTTGACCTTGCCACAATCCTTGCAGCCCCATATGCCAACAGCCTTCCTCTTCACAGCATACTGCAGATAAGCAACATCTCATTAGAAACAAAGATAAACAGCAAAGAACATAACTTGTACATGTAAATGGATCCCTCAAGAACAGAGCTTGTGGAAGATGGTTAGCACAACCAACCAAGGACAGTAACAAGGACGTACCTTTCCACAAAAGTCGCACAAATATTTGTTGTGCTGGGAAACCTCCATCTTCTTAATTTGCTTCCTCAAACTAGCACCATAACGGGTACCTAAAAAATAAATAGAAGTCAGCATTTCCTCATTCTTGAGGTAAAAAGATCAGATGCATAAACAATGCTTTTCAATGTTTAACAAATACAAACAAACAAACCCGAGAGTTCAAATATAAGTTGTTCTTAGTAGAATAACTTGATCACCATCCACACCCCACAAAAAAAAACCCACACACAAACAACCAAGCCCAGACCAAGAGTTCAAAAATTGTTGTTCTCACTATAATAACTTCACAATCAACTTTTCATCCAGCAGCAGTTCTAATGGATGGAAAGTCTTACCAAAATGCAAATGACCTATATTAATCTAGCATCCTTCCATTTCTAACACAATTTAAGAAAACCTCAGTGAAATGTCAAGATTAGCACATCTCATTGAGGACCTAAAACAAGAAATATAAAACAAAAGGCCTCCCCAAAACGCAAATGAAGTATGAATCTAGCATCCTGCAACTTGTAGCACACATTAAGACAACCTCAGCAACATCTTAGATATTTAGAACAAAATGCTACATTGAGCAAGCATGTTTCGGCAGGAAACTAACTGCTAGTACAAGAAATGAAACCAAATGAACTGCAAAAGACGTAAACAACTTACCATACTTCCCGACAATTCCGGCCTTCTTTGTCCTCTTCGTCTACAAGAGATTAGAAAAAGTAACTCAGAAATCATCTTCACAAACCTCTCCGTCATATACGTACACCCCAATCACTCAAACTACCTAAACTTAAAAACTTAAGTCTTGAATAAACGGGAGGCGACATATGACTACTGTTCGGATTTGCATCTCCGAAACTCACAATGTCAATCGTTTATTGAAAGCCTTGAAAAATGCAAAATCACCTCTATAAAACTACAGAAACTGCATACAGCAAGCTCAATCAACAGACGTTTTCTTCAAAAGAAAAAAAATTCCAAACACTAAAACCACAAAACATCAGGAAATTCAGACCAGAAAGGAAAAGACTGAAAGATCATTGACTCTGTAGCAAAAACGAAACGAATTGAGATTTATAGCTCCACTTCATAGAGTATCTCTGGGCAGGTGGAGTAAGATAACGGAAAATTTACCATTTTGAGGGGGCAGCTCCGATGATTCTCCGGATGCTATTCTCTCAGAGAGAAAAAGGTACGGGGTGGCGTTGGAGACGACGAGAGAGGTGAGGGGTTAAGAAAACCCTAGAGTATATCAGCCAGCCCATTTAACCAAAAAGCCTATACGGGTGTCATTGGGCTTGGTTTATTTTTTACTATTTCTTTTTTGGATAAAAGAAAAACTCGCGTTTTTTGCTATCCATTTAACATTAATTTACTGAACAAATAGAAAATTTATAATAATGGCCTTGTAATTGCTTAATTAGAAGCAACTGAGGCATTAGGTTGAGTGGATTTTGAAGTAATTGAGATGCTTATAATGGCCAATCTCTTGTCTATTACTGAATAAAAGGTGTATTGTGGATCTTGGCTACTATCAAGGAGATGTAGTATTATAGTATTGTAATAGTGTTTTTAGCAAAATATGTTAGGTAAAATATCAGATTGTTATTGTAATTTAGGTTGTTTATCCTCCTCAGTATAATAATTAAAATAAATAAAAATAATAAAGAAAATTTATTAGCTTAAATAGTGTAAACTCTTTAAGAAAATAATAGCGGAAAGAAAAAACTAAAGCACGAATAAAGATGTTGGGAAACATTAGCAGAGACAATATGATATATTTTTGACCACCCAAAAAAACTAAAGATCATATTGATACATATACTTTGCAGAAATGATATTCCTGTCTAAAGATGGTCATCTACCATCGAGGATTAAGTTCATGTTGAATGAGGCCAATTCAGTGATCTTAGAAAGAGAAAGAAGTGCCGTTCACACATATGTTAAAAAAACATAGGTGATAGTTTGATAAACACTTTTTACTATGTTTGTTTGAAAAAACCTTTAGTTTTTTGTTTGAGTTTGAGATGTGATTTAAAATGTGTTTTAATAAAAATTTTAAAAATTGTTTGAATAGTTTTTTAATGAAAATAATTTTTTTTTTTTTTACCACCTCCACCACCTATCTCTGCCGCTGGACCGCCGATTGACTTTCGGCGCGGGAATTTAGACGAAATCCTGCCGGCGGTCTTGCGGCGACGGAGGGTGATCCGGCGGTGGCAGGACGGTGGTGGAGGTGGTTCGGTCCGACGATGGTGGTGGACGAAAATTGTATAAAAATAATTTTTAGAATATTTTTTAAAAAATAAGTTAAAATGTTGTTTAGATTTTGGTTTTTAAGAATTAAAATGAAACAAAAAAGTAAAATAAAAGTTTGACAGACCAGCCAAATTACTCAAAAAATAATAATGTAACAAAAGTGTTGTTATTATATCAGCTGCCATACATCATCACATCCCACAGTAGAAATTCCGCATCAATCAAACATAACAGCGGTTAAAACGGCAAAACTTTCGGTTAATAACTATTAATTAATTGAGTTTATAAAGTTCTAAAATCGTTTTCATCCGTGTTAAAAAACCTGTCGTCAACGGCACGCCAAAGTCAAATCTTTTCAAACACGATGGATTTAACCGGCCAAATAAAAAAAAAACAAAAAATAAGGAAACGAAAATATAAATTTAAAAAATTTTATTTCACTTCTTCCGTAAAAACTATCACGCGATACAGCTCATATTTTTTTTCCCCTCTCATTACTACTTGAAGCCACCATAAATTTTTTTGGACCATTTTACCCTTTACATTTTAAACTTCCACCAAAGGAAAAAAGAGAGAAAACTTAAAACCACCACCCTTCTAAATCCCATTTTGAAGCCTAATTTGGTGAAAAATTGATGGCAACACGGAAGAATCAAAGCGGGAAAGAGCCGATCTCATCACGGGTACGTTTTTTTTCAAAAAAAACTTTGTAAATTGAAGGAAAAAAAAATTGGAATCGCCACGGACGGCAATGAAGCCGTCCGTGGTGCGGCCGACGCGCAAGCAACGCGTCCGGTTCAACTCGAACGAGCAAAGCGCCGTTCGGGTTGAGCCGGGACGCGTTGCTTCGCGCGTCCTCCCGCCGCCGCGAGCGGCTTCATTGCCGTCCGGCTGTGTTCTTTTTTTTTTTGAAAAAATTTTTTTTTTTAAATTTTGTAAGACCGCCGCCGACGGGCAATGAAGCCGTCGTGGCACGGCCGGGGCGCGCAGCAACGCGTCCGGTTCAACCCGAACGAGCAGTTGCGTTCGGGTTGAACCGACGCGTTGCTGCGCGTCCCGTCCGTGCCGGCCGGCTTCCGGCTTCGTCCGGCGGCCAGATTGCAATTTTTTTATTTGTTTAATTACAATGTAATTATGTTTTAATTCTGTTTGATTTAATGTAATTAGGGTTAGTAAGTAATTTTTTATTATTGAATATTCTGTGATTTAGATTGGTTACTTAATTTAATTGTGTAAATAATTTAATTTGATTAATAATAGATTAGTTCATTAATTAGTTTGATTGATGTACTTATTAATTTAAATAGTTATTAAAGTATTTAGGTTATATTTTTAACTAAGTTATTAGTAGATTAGTAAAGTTAATCATTTGAATTGATTAAATTAATTTAAATATTATGTAAATTAGTTGAATGAGAAAACTAATTTAATTAATAGTAGATTAGTTGAGTACCATATTAGTTTAATTGATTTACTCATTATTAAAGTATTTAGGACACTCATTCAGCTCTTCCATCAACTGTCTGGTATAAAGGACCTCGTCATCCACATCGGTAGGAGCACTCGTACCAGCCTGTTCACCGATATTAAGGGTCGCCCAAAATGGGTGAATATGCTTAAGAGTTATCGATGTGCCGGCATCTGCAGCCTTTTTGAGGGCGCACGCACATGGAATTCGACAAGTCCAGTACACCACATGATCGCATCGGTCATTGGTTTCTTCTTTCCACTCTTGCACCTTCGACCACTCAGTGTTCAGCTTTTGGAAACAAGTATGTGAAACTTGAAACTTCAAGCGGTTCAGTGGAAAACCGCAATAATGGGTGCCAATTTTCTGTCTCGAGTACTCCAATTTGTACCTGAATGTAGCCAATTACTGTAAAACATTCTACTTAAAATGCCATAAAAACAAAATAATTACTAAATATATTATAATAAATATAACTTCTAATATAATGGAATAGAACTTACCGTATTTCGGTTAGCTGACTCTGAATTTCCAAGTGCACCTTAGCCCAAAGTGTATCCAGGGACGCCGTGGATGTTTCTAGCCAGGTTTTTAACTGCTTGTGCGCGCTCTCCACCCTACCTGTAGTAGTGTTACCCATATGAAACACAGCATTCGTCCATGCCTTGACGAATTTGTAGTCAACCACTAGCCATGTCTTCTGGATATAAGTAAGAACTCTCGGAAAAGACTGCCAACGACGGTTTATTACGGCAACAGCTTTATTGTACTCATCCTGGTTATTAGCTTCCACAACATCTTTCCACAACCCATATGTAAAACCATTTGCAATCTTGGCATCAATTTTCAATTCCTTGTTGAGATGTCGCTTTACATTCTCATAAACGTGCCAAACACACAACAAGTGGCATGAATCGGAAATACCATACCAGTGGCGCCATCAACCGGTTCCCGATCAAGAACAATAACAATTTGGAGAAAGATGACGAGGAAGCAAATCCCTTAACTGTCTCAAAGCCCAATAATAACTATCAGCAGTCTCGTCACTCAAGAGGGCGTATGCAATCAGGAAGTTCTGGTTGCACGGTGTCATCCCAATAAACTCAACCAACGGCATTTTGTACTTGTTCGTCTTGTATGTTGAGTCTATCCCGACGACCCATAAATAATCGCAAAATAAATTGACAAAGATCGGGATGTGCAAAAATACACGAGTCAGCACACCTGTCTCCTGATTGCAATCTGTCATGATGATGTAACCATGATGCTTGGCCACCGCTAGTGTCTTCGTCGCGACATCCATGGCACTCGATTCACCCAACACCGGGAATCCCTCATTACGCAATTTCTTCCTGAAATTGTACACTTGCCGTCTGTTAACTTTTTCATCAGGAAAGATCCTCTGAATCGCAGTCATGATCTGACACGGTCTGCACCCATCTTTGGACATACCCTGTATAAGCTGTTTCACTCCATCGTTAAGGCCCCTCGTAGGATGATCTTCGTCAAACAGCTCGTGGTTATGCATTCCAAACTCACCAGGATACACCCGAATGCGCCACTTCCCATCCACTGGGTGCACATATAACTTAAATTTACACCCAGTGTTCTGTGTCTTCGAATCTGATGTGACATAGTATTCACCATCATCAACTGATACCTTTCCCTCTACTACGATCTCATCGAATAGCATTCTTCTTACTAGAAACTACATTTATAATCATACCATTTGCCATGCCCATGCCTTTCACCCAAGCAACAAAGATCATCCTTGTTTGCAAATTCCTCATCTGTAGCAAATAATATGCTGTAATCTTGACCATCGCCACCAAAATCTTCTAAAGAATCCTGCAAATTAAACATAAAATTACAACAATAAAAAACTGCATCATAATAAATTAAATTAAACACATATTTCAATAATTTAAAAAAGTTAAACAATTATAATAAATAATGAAAAAACATATATTTACAGTAAATAGATTCCTTAATTATTTACTAAATTAAATTTCCCAATACCTACCTAATAAATATTAGCGATTAATTAAATAGATTAATTATTTACTAACTTAAATACTTATTCCACAAAATTCTTTAATTATTTAATTATTTCCCCCTAAATAAATATTATCTCTAATTAGTTAAATCTAAATAGATAAATAAAATTCAACTAATTACATTACTTAACATAAATAATTAATTTAAGATATACAATAATAATATTCTTACTTAATTAAATTAACAAAACATGCAATAAATAAAAATATAATTCAACTAATTAATTTACTTAACATAACTAATTAAATTTAATTAACATAACATGCAATAAATAAATATAATTAAACTAATTCAATTACTTAACATAACTAATTAAATTACAAAATAAATTAACATAATAACATGCATGAAATTAAAATTATTAAAAAAAATAAAAAAAAAAAAAAACCTGTTGAGCAGGGAACGCGCAACACACGCGTCCGGTTCAACCGGGACGCGCAATATACGCGTTCGGTTCAATGGCCGAACGCGTATATTGCGCGTCCCCGGTTGAACCGGGACGCGTGTGTTACCCGTCCGGCCAATGGATTGAACGCGCGTATTGCTCGTTCACGGTTGAACCGGGGCGCGTATATTGCGCGTCCGGTTCGATTTCACCCGGTCCGGCCGTGCAATATACGCGTCCCGGTTGAACCGGGGCGCGGAATGTATGCGTCCGGTTCAATGGCCGGACGCGTTGCTTGCGCGTCCCCGGTTCAACCGGGACTTTTTTTGACCGGTTCGGTTATTTTAAATTTTTTTTTTTTTTTTACCTCTGAATTAGTCATTTTCTTTCTCTCTCTACTGGCAGGGGTAAAATCGTCAACAATTTTTTGAGGTGGCTTTGAGTACTAATTTTGTTGGCTACAAAAATCCCCCCCCTTAATTAATTGAGTTTATAAAGTTCTAAAATCGTTTTCATCCGTGTTAAAAAACCTGTCGTCAACGGCACGCCAAAGTCAAATCTTTTCAAACACGATGGATTTAACCGGCCAAATAAAAAAAAAACAAAAAATAAGGAAACGAAAATATAAATTTAAAAAATTTTATTTCACTTCTTCCGTAAAAACTATCACGCGATACAGCTCATATTTTTTTTCCCCTCTCATTATTTTCTCTCTGAAATGATCGGAAAAACGAAATAATTATTATAATGTCAAACCCTAACCATCGCGATCAGATCCAACCAACTCGATAATTATCTCTGTCTTTCCCCCGATCTGGTCGTAAATCTTTCCGTATACGACCGCATTATCGGGATAATTTTGTTTTTTGTACATTGTTGTTTTATTTAAATTTTTGTTTGGAATTATTGGTTTGGGAATTTGAGGTTTTTTGAGGTCTCATCCACCTGCATTGTGGGATTTTCGTGTCTTGAGCTGAAGATTCGAATTTTGGATTGATTGTTTTGGGGAAAAATTCGTATTTTGAAGAAGAAAGCGCTGTACTTTTTTTTGTTTGTTTGGTGGGTTTAAAAGATGGCTTCGACATCTTCCATCAGCGAAGAGCTTGCGGAGATCGAAGGACAGATTTCTGATATTTTTCGAGCTCTTTCGTAAGCGCTTTCTCCGTTTCGCATACGTTTCGTTTATATTTTTTGTGTGTGTGTGTGTGTGCGCGCGCGCGTGTATGGCAGAATGTTAATAGATTCTAGTTTCTTGAAGTATTTAAGTTCCGTGATACTGTAATTAATGTGGGATAAGTTTAGTGTTTTTCTTCTGGAAATAGAACGTCGTTCGAAATTTCTTAGTGTTTTATCCTATTTGCTCCGACCCAGATTTTGAGAAATTTTGAGGGGCAGTGATCATCCGCTTCCAGTTCAGTTTTGAGCTGTTATTTTTGGTTTGGGATGTATGCAAAGGCTGTGTTCCATAACTTAACCTTTAATGGGATTAATGATTATTTATGATGCAGAAATGGGTTTCAGAAATTGGAGAAAATCAAGGATACGAGTAGACAGAGTCGACAGTTGGAGGAGCTCACTGGGAAGATGCGTGACTGCAAGAGGTAAATTTCAACCGTCTTGATTTTCGGTTCTTATATTTGCAGGCATTATATGTTGTAATGTTGGTCTATGGCTTCTTCAGATTTATGCTTTGCTCAGTGACTGAATGGTATTTGTCTTTAAACAGTAATCTTTTCACTGCTTTTCTATTTTGTTAGTATTTGAGTTTAAACTTTTTTTTGGGGGGTTAGTGGAGGGCAGGAGTACTTCTGCCTGAAACCCCTGATTATGAGTTCTGCATAACAATGTATAGCTGGATCTGGCGAATGAGGAAAATAAAATTCGACAGTGATCTTAACTAATAGAGACTATGAAATTTGAATATGACCAACTTTTCTCTGGACAGGCTTATTAAAGACTTTGACCGGGAATTGAAGGACATGGAGTACAAACTTGATGCAGAGACCACTAAGATGTTGAATGAAAAGAAGCAATCGATGGTAATATTGTCTGTCTTAGACTCTTTTTCATCATTATTAGCTGTGCTTGTTTGAACCATAGGCTGTCATTTGGCCTGTGAATTTCACTGCTAGTTGCTGTTTTTTTGGTTATGTATTTTGTTTGAGGGCTGAGATTAGTAATGGCATGCATGACAAGAACTGTGTTCTTTCAAGATCTACCTGCTTGTGCGATGTTTCAAATTTTTATTTATTGGGGAATTGTCAACCTGTAATTCAGGAGTTATCGCAGAGTCTGTTGCATAGTGTTCATTTTTCTTGAGTTCTAATTTTAGCTTTGGATTATTTATATATCCTTCTGGGGCTGCCTCTATTATCTGTCACGACTGTCAATGTCATCAATGTGTATAGATGAATCTTTAAAAAAGTAGATATAGATCAGATGCAACCTAGTCTTTTTCTTCTAAATTTCAAATTGCCTTTTGCTTTGTATTATAGTCTTTCCTAGTAAGGTACTTAAGTATGTATGTTCTTATGCACGCACTAGAAAATTGATTTCTTTTTAATATCAAAACAATTTAAGCTCAAGCAGTGCCCGCTGATTCAATCAGTTGACCAACGAGTGCTCCTATAACTTAAACAAAAAAGTCTGTCTCCTTTGTATGTCTACTAGTTTGTGTATCTAGCGATGCTACAGCTACTTTCTTGTTGATGACAAGTCTTTTTCCATATGCAGATTAAAGAATTGAACTCATACGTTGCCCTGAAGAAGCAGTAAGTTCTTTGTTTGTATTCAACTCTGGAAACATTCTTCCAAGTTTCTTTTTAGCTTTGTAATATATATTTTAGTATTTTTTGGCCCCCATTAAGTTGAATCATGCTAGTTATTAGTCTTTTCAGTTTCCACACATTTAGATTTACTCGTCTTGTCCTGGCTTTTTTTTAACAGCTAGATCCTTCTTCTTGCCTAAAAACTTCTCTTTATCCTTGCATCTGTTTTTCATTCGTTGGACTTCGCAAAATATTCTATTTCAGCAGTAATTGTAAGTGGTTATATAAAAATTTGAATGAGTTGAATATTGTTTATAATTGATAATGGAATGATTCCGAGATTTGTTGAACGGCATTGCTGCCAGTCACACTTCCTCACAAAAAAAAAAAAAAGTAAAAATAAATAAAAATACAGGGGAGCATCAAAATTTTGCTAGGGCTATTTTATCAAGTTAATAGCTTTTGTTAACTCCCCTCTGAAGGGATTGAATCCAGAACAACAACCAAGCACTTAAAACTTTCTTGCCCCTTATAATTGTTTAAAATGTTCTTTTATGACTGTGATGTGTCTAACCCCTTCATGAAAGTATTAATTTTTACATTTTGATGCTTGTATATGTTTCAAATTTTGTGTTGTTGTCTTACTAAATTTGAGTTTCTCTGGTTTGCAGATACTCAAGTACTCTTGAAAACAAGAGAGTAGAGCTTTTTGAGGGTCCTGGTGAAGGATATGCTGAAGACAATGTTCTACTAGCTTCCTGTAAGTGTACCTTGTGCTGAGAAATTGTTTTTCATTTTTAATGAGTTTTTACATCCTTTACATTTTACATGCTACCTTGACTTTATTTTCTAGCTTTCTGAAGCCATCTTGTTGGAAATAGTTCTAAGATGTTCTTAAACAATCCTAGCTCTGCTGTACTGCTAAGGCTGGTTCATTTCAAATCTCTTACAGGATTATCACAACATTTTTGCCTGTGCTAATAGTGATATGATGCTTTTACTTTACTTTTTCTCCAAATATGTTTTCATCGTGTTCTTCATAGTTATGTTTTATCCATAAAGGAACTATAAGCTCGGAAAAAAGAAAGTTCATATGAACTTGAGAAGCATGCTTGCTTTGGTTTCTTCTGTAAGCATAGCCTTGTGCATGAGAAATGCCTTCTATACTGCAATCTTACACCTGTGAAGTAATAGCACCTGGTGTATGGTACTAAAGTTCGATCTGCATGCATTTCAGCAATGACGAATCAACAACTGATCGATAATGGAAACAAGATGATGGATGAAACTGATCAAGCTATTGAGAGGTCAAAAAAGGTCAGTGCCTGCTTTGAAGGAAGAAGGTTTGCTGTTACAGATAACTTGTCACTTCTTCAATTTTTTATCCATCTTGTATCATTTAAGTTTTCTACAATATTCTTCTTGAAACTTAAATGGGAGATTTGACCGGTTCACACTCAACTTCTCCTAATACCTAATTGTACCAAGTCCTCTGCACCTAGCTTAACTAGACAATACTTTATCTTCTAATCGCATGCATGCAATTCTGTTTCTACTTCTCCTTAGATATCATGAGAGAGTTTTTTAACTTAAGCTTTAAGTCTTTTGACTAGCATCTTTAAATAACAAATGAAGTGAGGCCAAGGATTATCTGGTAGTGTCTATTTGGGAACAATGAGAAATCTACATAACTTGATCAATTGAATCTATGCGGAGGAGAAACTTTCTGGCAATTTTTCTTATATCAAGCTCTTTTTTTACTCTTTTTTTTTTAATAATAAAAAAAGGCTAAGGTTATTTATCTAGTTGATTTCATGATTTCGAAACACTTTTATGATTTTACTGAGTTCCTTGTTGGGTTCATTTTATAGGTTGTACATGAAACCATAAATGTTGGAACTGAGACTGCAGCAGCTCTAAAGGCACAGGTGTGTACATCGGTGTTTAGAAAGAACAATCGGGATCGATTAAACTTTGCTGATGCATACTCTTAAGAGGATTTTTTTTTTACTCAAAGATTCTGTTCTTTTACTCCTTCCCCTTGTGATATGTTTGTTTCTGCTTCTGGACAACAGACTGAACAAATGAGTCGGATTGTTAATGAGTTGGACTCGATACATTTTTCAATTAAGAAAGCTTCGCAGTTGGTCAAGGAAATTGGTAGGCAGGTCAATCTCTAAAATGAATCATTCCTCTTTGAATTCTGTTTTCTGCACCATTGTATACTGTTTTACTCATGTTGTTTTGTTGATTAGGTTGCAACTGATCGTTGTATCATGGCCCTACTCGTCCTTATCGTGATTGGTGTCTTGGCAATCATAATTGTTAAGGTTGGAATCTCTTCTCTTATTCTGATCTTTGATTCAAAGGTATTATACACTCATAACATCAGTAGAGCTTCCGATATTGCAAAGCAAGAGAGTCCTTCAGCTTCTTTTTTCAGTATTATTACTATTGTTGTTGTTAATGCCAATTTGCAAAAGATTATGCTATCTGATTTATATATCCTTAGCATCTTTTAGTTAAGGAACCTGATATACTACTTTATGCCACAAGAAACTTATGAAATTAAAGATGTTGAGCTTATGGCCTGGTTAAAACTTACATTGGTGCCATTAAATCTTCAGCATGTCAAAAGGATTCGTGATTTGTTCCCCTTTGGGGTGTGTATGTGTGTGTCAGAAAGAATTAGATTAGATGACGTATACCAAACTCGATCCTGCTTAACTGGGTTTATTGTCACATTTTTAACATTCAGATTGTGAATCCTCACAACAAAGACATTCGGGATATTCCTGGATTGGCACCTCCAGCTCCCGCTCGAAAGCTACTCTGGAACCCTAATTAAAGAGACACTTCATATGCACATATTTGTACCATCCTTTCGAACTTATGTGGATTGATGGATAGATATTCCTGTGATGTTCTTGGAGTAACCTGCTTTCACTGAACGGTTTATGGCGAATCAGGAGGGAGAGCAATCCGGCACTTCCTACTGTGCTGAACCCATCTTACCAGCCGGGCTTTGTTCAGTAGAAGGTGACCCCTCCGTCTAGGTATCCTTTGAAATTCTTTTCATATCTTGGTTTTAGCTTCTTTTACAGCTTTCTGTTCTGAGTATCAAAAATAGATATACACACGGCTTCATTGTATTATTGTTGTATACCGCCTAGTCACCTACCATCGTTGTATAAGTAATTCACTTTGTCTTATTGCTTGGTATTGATTAAAATATATTGTATTTTTACCACATATTTGTACCGAAGGTTAAATATACACAATTTGGTCTTATCAAACTATGTACAGCTCTTAGAATATCCATTTCGATGATCTTTTTAGAATATGCATTTGAATGGTCTCTCAACTATCTACAGTCTACACCGGGTGGAATGGCACCCATTGTTGCGTAACAAAGAAAGTAAAGAACGGAAAAGAAAGAAGAATGTACGTATTATGTCTTATTGGCCAATTTTCTTACTGTTGATTTGTGAGTGAATTTCAACGCCAAAGCGCTGAAGTCCTTGTAACACGAAATGCAGAAATAATAGTTGGACTGTCAATTTCATGGAGTTATGGTAAGAAAGAACGATATGTCAAAGTCAAACTGGTGAAATGGGGTTATTGGGTGAGCGTCAAAATCAAATTCAAAACCATTCACCGCTTTTGAACAAACTCCCATTTAAGGGGAAAAAAAAAAAAAGAAGACCATAAATGTCAACTCAGCCAACTCCTCTAAACAAGAAATGAAAATCAATTTAGAAAATGATACTACAACAAAGAATATGTATTGTCACATCTTTATCTCAATTCTCCTCATTTTTCTGGTTTTTTTTTAACAGTCCCCCGTCCCCCTCCCCTTTTATAGCTGATTCATTGTCTCATTCTAACAATTAGTCAATTTTAATAGCGATTTATTTACAACAAAATAGATTAATGTTAAAATAGAATGAAAGAATAGTATTCTTCCTAATTTTCACCGTCTATCTGCAAAATTTTACTGCTTCTGAATCGTTTTGCAGCTGACTAAGCTCATCCAAAAGAAGGACATTCATTATAAAATGTTTAAATCCTAAGTGGGGCTTTTATTAAGTTATGGGGACATAACAGACTTTTTAGCTGACTTATATAATGAGGAGAAATCATCAAAGTCTCTATATATCACCATCCTTCGTAATAAACAATGACCGAAAGGAAAACTACTTAGTCAACTGAAGTCTTCCTCTCTTACTTGGCAACTTATATTTGAAATTTTCCAATATTAACGAAAGAGTCACCAACTTTGGAGGTTTGGCAACGAACAATATATGCACATGCATATACAATATACTCCCTCTGTCCCAAAATAATTGTCCATTTTGAGATTTCAATTTTAGTACAATTTGAACTAGAAATGAAAACTCAAACTGGATAATAATTATGGGACGGAGGGAGTATTTGTTTTGGAAATGTAGAGGGTGAAAAACTGTATATGAAAACAATAAGGTGTGTAATAAATTTAACAACGTGCAAAGAGTTAGCGCAGAGGAGGTAATGTATCTGTGACAAGTGATAAGTTTCCTCTTACTTTTCAAACATTTCAGAAATATGGTTCGATTTCAGTAATAATACCGGATTAGAATTAAATGTTCCACTGTCTTGAATTAATACGTACTCCTTTGGACCCGAAATAATTATCCAATATTTCTGGAATTGTATCAAAATTAAACTTTAAATTTGGATCATTATTTCGGGACACAAAAGTAAAATTTATGATGAATTTGGCGACTAGTGGAAATGTCGTGACAGATTTACATGTCCCTTGTGAATTCCAAATCGATCCATTTTTGGAAAAAAATGGAATGCTTTGAAATTGATCGCAATATACCCTCTCTACACTTGCTAATTTAAGGGAGATTTCTTTGTATTACGTAGTACATTTAGAATTAGTACTTCTTTTCATCTCTTTTTCTTCCGTGTTTCCGACTCCTCTTTTTTAAGGATTGATTCATTGATTGATTAATGTGTCATTCAGTAGAGTAGTCAATCATTCACACTACTTTTTAGTGTCAAAAGACAAAACATATGGACTTAAAGTAAAAAAAAAAAAAAATTATTTAGACTGAACCTATTCTTTTAAGCAAATGTTTGAATATACGAGGAAAAGGAAAAGAAAAGCAAAAGTAAGTTTTATTAACATCGGTTGATACGTGCAATAAAGGTGCAATAGTTATGATTAGTGTTCTAAAGAAATGAGAAAATCCAATGAATCCGCCTGAGGTTATTCGGACACGAGATGAAGAATATTGTCTTATTTTTTTTTATTCGGAAACAAATTTCTGTGTAAAAAATGTGCTTGAGGTTCCTCAGTTTATCGTGTTATTTTCCTCCAAATTCCTGACTAAGAAGTCTGCCTTGTGCATGTTATTTTCCTCTTTGGCATTTCAAGTGAAATCTGTACTCTCCGTGCCTCTTTGGCATATGGTAAATTGTAATACTCCTAATTTATACTACTTCCGTCCCAAAAAAAATAGTCCACTTTGAGTTTTCAAATTTGTATTAAAATTTAAAACTCAATGTGGACTATTATTTTGGGACGGATAGAGTATTTTATACTACTAACTTATAGTGTAAATTATTTTTATAAGATGGAATTAGTATTTGCCCAACATCATATGCATATTAGCGCTGGATCCCGACGACAGGACTTTCTTTTTTGTTCCGTTCATCCGTAGTGTTTTCTTTTCTTTTTCATTGAGACTTCAAGAAATAAACTAATGTAATTCTTTTGACCTTCTGAAGCTCAATATAATAATAATAAAAAAAGAAGCTTTTCTGCAAAACAATCTTTAATGTATATAGTGGAATCCAACATTTTGTAATACACAAAATCCTATGGAACTAAGATTACACAGGTGTTGATGATTCATAAAGCTAGCGCAATCAACATCGTCCATCATTGATCTGGGCAAAAAATGTGTCATATCTTTATTTTTCAAGACTAACTAGGTCTTTTTTTTTTCTTTTTAGGAAGAACCAACTAAAATTACTTTCAGGACGGGTATTAGTACCGAAGGTTAACAATTGAGAAAAATGAAATTACTTTGGATGAAAGGAACACTAAATACTCTTTCTGTCCTGAAATTATTGTTCAATTTAAATTTTTACTTGTAGACTTGTAGTTCAACTTATACTAAAAATGAAAATTCAAACTCGACAATAATTTCGAGACAGGAGAAAACTATAAAAATTGTCATGGTTAAATCACTAGTGTGATCATTACTTATAGATAGCCGGTACAACCCAGCATTCCAACCACAGTTTGGAAAAAAACCTATGAAATTCTAGTGTTCAAGCCCTCAATAATAACATGCAGGAACCTTTTGAAAAAAAAAAGAAAAAAAGGAAAGTATATCGTGTGTCATTGTTATTGCCCGGTGAAGCTAAAACTCTTTCACAAAATTGGTAGAGCTTTGAAATTTTTAAATGATTTTTTAATTATTTTTCTGGTGACCGTCTTACTATATATCATAATTTCTTTTTAGTTGTCGAAAATAAGTTTGTCTCCTTCTATGTATCTTTCAAATATACATACCAAGCCACTATATTTCATCAGATTAATGGACCCGTATTTATTACTTTGGAATTGATTGAAGAAGGAAAAACGCGGGAACAAACATGGTCAAAATGGAAGACTTCAAATTTCCAACGTTGGTTGCACCATAAAGGTGTAAAAACGAACCATCGGATGTTAGTGCTTGTATACAAGTTGTTTGTTGGATAATTGGGACAACAAATCTCCCCCCACCAAATCACACGCCTCTGTTTCACATTTTTCTGCCTTTTATCTTCTTCTCTCCATTCTTATTGGATTTGGGTTTTTTTTTTTTTGTTTTTGAATAATTTGTGTGTTTTACTTTCTGTATTCATAACTCCTCCTCAACCGTCCCTGTCCACTATGGTCAATCCCCACTTCCCACCAAATAGTAAAACTGCAGAGAAAGAGAAATCAGTGCTTGTCAAACAAAATTATTAAAAAAAAAAAAAAAACACACCATGACATCAATTAAACTTATTCGTCCCTTAAATAATAAGTAACTAATACCGTATTTGATAAAATTTAATCTGGGTCTGAAGTTTGAATACTGAAATATAAGTGTTGAACTGATAAATTTTATCGTTTTTTTATAAAAATTAAAATATGAAATTTGAAACAAAATATTGAAGTCTATGAAGTCCGTAAGATTTCAATACAAATTCATGATATTGGGAGAAAAGCCTTATCAATTTCTAAAAATTTTTTTTTAGAGAATTTCTTCATCTTAGTTCTTCATCTCATTCGAATTGTTCTGCAATTATAACAATGAAAATACAAAACAACCTAAAGCAGATTTATGGTTTCTATAATATGCATTCAAAGATAAACGAAATCAAATCACCTATGGACTGAAAAATCAAATCACTTAATAATTTTGCTTGACATTTAGAGTCCATATTATTGGAAGTCCAAACTTAAAAGCCTCAATCGTACTCCCACCGTCCCACAAAAATAGTCCAGATTAAGTTTTGAATTTTGTACAATTTTTTTAGTATAAATTTGAAAATTCAATATGAACTATTTTTTTGGGACGGAACTAGTATTATCTTCTTTTCTTTTTGGTAATGAAATTCTTATCTCTAAAGTTCTAAACCAGGGAAAAATACAAAACAAGTGACGTCATCAGTTACCATCTTCCCTGATTCGAATGTATGAAATCACTAGTTTTTTTTTTTTGGGCTTTGATTGTATTTACTGTACAGAATGGTACTGCTTTCAATACAGCTACTACTAGTTTTCTTCCATTACGTCTTTAATGTTTTAAGATGTCCCCTTCTTCCTTCTTCCAATTTTCATCAATTATTTTTTGAAATTTCCATTCAGACACGTTATCTTTTATTCTTTTAGGCCAAAAATCGGTTTTTTAGTTCTCTTCCCCTGTTTCTGTGTTCATACGGTCTCGTCAGTCATCCCTATATATTTTTTGTCATGGTCAATTTCAACATCTCCCCTTTTGAGTTTTGACCGTTTGGTTTCACCAATCTCTTCAGACAAAAAACCAACACAGTTCTTTTTCCTTTGGGCCATTTTATTTCCAACCCTGTTTTTACAGTTTCCATGGTGAAAACGGAATTGAGCCCTTTGTAAATAAGCTCGTTCTTTCTCTTTGTTTTCTTCACTCCCGTTCCTATCAGAGTCCCCCTGGTTCTGTCTTTTTCTCTGTGTCTGGACAATCGAATTCATTCATTTATTGTTTCAAACAAATTTTCTTTACAGCAATCCCGTTATTCCCACCCGGGTTTTTTTTTTTTTTTTTTTTTGTTCTGGCCAAAAAATTTAATCTTTACTTTGAGCTTTCCAGTTTCAAGCACTTCCGGTCTTCTTTCACGTGTGCACTTCCAGATTCTTTTCTCTCTGTAATTATGATTTTGGTGACTTTTTGATATCGTCACGGTGCCAAAGCCTTACATATATAGTTCTTGTTCTGTTCTTATTTCTTCCTCTGTTCCCCTTCAAGCCTGCAAAGTTTTGATCTTTTTTTAAGACTTTGAAGCTCTCTTATAGAGTGGGTTTGTCCCTTTTAATTTTGCTGTTCATTGAAGATGTATTCATGACTATCAAGTCCAATTTGAGGAAAATTAGTGCAGAATTGTCAAACATGATGAAGTGTTTTTACATATTCAAAGATAGGCCTTCAAGATCCCAAAGGGAGAGGAGATCAGCGGATTCAGCTCCGGAATTGAGGAATCAAAGGGATACCAGCAGCAGCAGTAGTACAAAACCAAGTCGTCCAACGAGGTCTACTGGTTCATCCTCGTTACCTAGAAGCATCCCAGAATTGTTTAAAGAGAAAGAGCAAAATTTGAGAGCTTTTTCCCTTTTAGAGCTCAAAGAAGCAACCAAGAATTTCAACAAGTTGCTCAAGCTCGGTGAAGGTGGTTTTGGGAGTGTCTATAAAGGGCATCTTAAGCCACCTGACGGAAGTGATCCCGTTGTGGTTGCCATTAAGAAGCTCAACATATATGGTTTACAGGTATTTTGTTTTCCCCTCAATTAATTTAAGAGTCAAATTTACTCAATGTTCAATGTTTCTATCATAAATTTCTGTGTTTAGGTACTATGTTGGCAGAATATTGAAAAATGCGTGTTGAGAACGTGTGTAAAAAGGTCGAAGAAATTAAGGGGGCTAAAAGAGTATAATTGCATGGGATATTTTAGTTGTTTATTCATTGTTTCTTTGGTCAAGTTCTATTCTTGTATGGTAGGAGCTGTTTTTTCCCCTTTGATTCTTCCTAGGTAGATTAAAATAAGACATTTTAGGCTGCTGGGACTTGTACTGCAGTAGTGCAGTGTTCTTCAGTTTTAATGGAAATCTCAGATTGGCTATTGACTTGGTTCTTTCGGTAACCATTAGTTTGCAATGATCAATTACTTTGACCCAAAGTTACTCTGCGTTAGGCTGCCTAATTTTAATGTAGTACTAAATTTTGTTAAAATAATGGCAGCATTGATTTAGTAATACGGTCAGCATTAGAATGAGATCAACGGATTGTTTTGGTCAAAAGTTTTTCCACACTTCGGAATCTTTCAGTGTAACTTAAAGAACTTTAGTGTCTTTGTCATCATGGATTCATCGTAATGAACAGGTCATTGTTTCTTATGAATGAGAAGAATTTCGTTACTACGTCTATAAGAACATACTCCCGTTTATTTTTAGTACAAATTTTAAAAAGTATTATGGACGATATTTTTGGGGCAAAGGGATTATTAAGCTATTTTTTTCTGTCAATACGGATGATCTTACTTCTTAGATAGCTTGACTGAAATCAATAGTGTCCGTAGTTTTTTGGTTTGAGTTACTTAATAATGACCATGAAGAAATTTCCAAAATGAGGAGGATGAAAGTAGATGGTTATCATTAGGTGAGACTAGTCAATCAAGTTATACCTCCTAAAAAATGATAGTTTCAGTAACTATACCATGCAATTCCAGGACAGATGAGTTCAAAACTCCACTAGAAGCTTTCACTGATTTGGTTCTTGTATGTTGTGTTGCCTCAATTCTCCAAGAAAGTTTAAGATGTAAGGTTTCCTATTCCAACTCTCATGTAGGGACATAAGGAATGGGTATCAGAAGTTCAGTTACTTGGAGCTGTTGAACACCCTAATCTAGTGAAGCTTTTGGGATACTGTGCTGTAGACGGAGAAAGAGGGATCCAACGCTTGTTGGTCTACGAGTACATGCCAAACAAGAGTTTAGATGATCATCTCTTCAACAAGTCTGTTCCAGCTATTCCTTGGAGGACGAGATTAAATATTATTCTTGGGGCAGCTCAAGGGATGGCATACCTGCATGATGGATTGGCCTTTGAGGTACTAATTTCTAGTTCTTAAAAGCATAGTTAAATGATTATGAATGTGAAATGGACAGATGCAAAGTTTTTCACCAGTTAGACATAAGAAAATTAAGGAGGTGCTCTGCAAAACATTTTGTTTATAAGATTTGTTAGATGGAATGGTCTGAAACTTCAAGCTACCCTGTCGTGCCTGGTCTTTGTGCTAGGTTCATTGTTCAGATTGGCATATTTGCTGACTCTTGATTCTTCTTGTATTAAATTGAAGGTGATATATCGAGATTTTAAATCGTCAAATGTGCTATTGGACAAGGATTTCCATCCGAAGATTTCAGACTTTGGGCTTGCAAGAGAAGGACCAGTGGAGGGTAAAAGTCACGTGTCAACAGCGGTAAGTTTCAAAGGCACTTGATTCTATTTGCTTCTTGTCCATCTATACTGATTTCAATAGTCAGAATTTGTCAATTCGTTAGCACAGAAGAACGTTTATTCTGGACTTACCTATGTGGAACCAATAAATGTATCTTCTGTGCATCTAGCAAATCTTTTCCTTGCTTTTGTTTTCTAAACTATCATGTACCTGGTGGTCAGCCTGTAGGAACATATGGTTATGCTGCCCCAGAATATGTTTCGGAGGGCCATCTCTCCACTAGGAGCGATATATACAGTTTTGGGGTTGTGCTTTACGAGATCCTCACAGGCAGAAAAGCTCTGGAGAGGAATCGGCCAGCAGCTGAGCAGAAGCTCTTAGAATGGGTAAAAAGGTTCCCAGTTGATTCTAACAAATTCAGCATGATAATTGATCCTCGGCTGCGCAATGAGTACTCATTGAATGCTGCCCGAAGGATTGCAAAATTAGCAGATAGGTGCTTGAACAGAAATGCTAGAGAGAGACCCACAATCGCTGAGGTGGTTGAGGTTTTGCAGCAAGCTATACAAGAATCAGTAGAGGAAAGCTCACGCGCAACAAGTATTGAGTCTCCGAGTTCTAGAACCAACCCGAGTGTTAGAAACAGGGAAATCAGTAAAATGGCGATTCCTGGAGCTAGACGGATGAGCAATGCTGCTCAGGCAAGTTCAACCAAGCTTACTACTAGAACTTATATAAGCTAGACCTCCAAAGATTGACCTAAAGTTTTCTTCCTTTTCGGCTGACATTTCTCCTTTCTGTGCATTGACAGGCCTAAATCCGAAGTTCAAATCCCTTCTTTGGACTTGGATGCCAAGTTGTTCAAAAACTTGAAGGCATATATGATTTTTTTCCACCATGGGATTTCGGCTTGGCGTATTTTTATAGAGTTTGACAAACATATTTTCGCGGCAAGATAGTTGTTTACTTTCCATACCTTGATTGAGAGGATCTTGAACATATTGGAGATTTTGTTAGCAGGAATAGTAAACATGAAATTAGCAGTTTGTGGGAAGGACAAAATATTGCTATGCTAGTGACACCATTTTTTTTTTTTTACTTTTTTTTGTACAGTTTGCTCCATTCTTCTTTGATTTGAGAAATTGTCTGTCGATTCATAATACTAGTCAAAATCATCTATTCAATATCCTCATGATTGAATCACCATTTTCCATGCGGGTCTCAGTTCTTAGTGCATTCGAACAGCTTATTTTTGGAAAATGGAAAGGTACTTGTATTAGAGTCGGTAATTGGCTGGACCATTTTATAAGGAAGATGGAAGAATGAAGGTCATGAAGCGGCCTGGAACTAACTTAGTCTTGGGTGTTCTATTGTTGATTAGTCGACATTCAATCTAGCAAAACCCCGCTATGGAAACATCATAATTACAATTTTATTTTATTTTTTGAAAGTCCAAACATCTATTTAAATTTCCATCGTACTAATATTTAAATTCTGCTGAATGTCCAAAGTTAGGACATAATCCCCATCATAATTACATCTTTAGTTTGAATTTTTCAATCTCATTTCAACATCTGATGTCAACTTGAATATATGAAGTATGTAACGTGCTGCTAAAGGTTACAACTTACGATCTCCACCTCTATATGAAATTTAGTACTCCTTCCGATCCTTATTATAAGTCATTTTAATTTGTCATAAGTTTATCCTAAATTTAACCTAAAATGTCTTTTTAATTGGAATAAAAACCTTAAAAACATTTCTTAATATTTAGGAAAATACAACGAATGTGAAAATATATCTTTAAGATTTTTTTTTCCAATTAAAAACGTATCTTAGGTGAAATCTAAAACAGAATCAAAATGCCTTATAATAAGAACCAGAGTGAGTAGTATTTTACAATAATGATACCATAAGTTTTGTTGTATTGTGTAAAATGGTTTATGCCGTTTTATTGAAAATAAAATTTTGTCGTGAATTAATATTTTCATATGTCTGATGCGAGTAAAATAGACGCGAAAATCTATATATGAAACAAGATTAAAAGTGAGACTGATCATCAAGTTTATAAAAAGAATATAACCAAAAATACTGAGTTAGCTCTGAGGTACTGCTCTAAATTTCTTCGTCCACTATAAATATATAAAAGTTATTTATTTATTTATTTTTTGAATATAAAATTTATCAGAGCGACGTAAAAATGTACAAACCTGTACTAAATCAGTGTTATTTCGTAAAAATATCCAATATTCTCTCCCTATATATATACTAGTAATGTCTAGTCGCGCAATGCGCGACACTGACTCAATATATCTGTAGAATTTAAAAATATTTGTATTTGAAAAAAAAATATTTTGTATTTGACCCGATATATTTTAGAAATTTTTGAAGAATTTAGAAATGTTTTATAACTGTGATAATAGAAATGTTTGTATTTGGCATAAAAAGAAATTGTATTTGGTCCGGTACATTTTACAAATGTTTGAAGATTTTAGAAATATTTTATAAGTGTTACTTCTTAAATATAAATAAACTTGATCAAATATATGTCTTGAAGTAAATGCTAGACAAAATATGAAAGCATGCCAATAAGATTAAATATTAGTAATATAATTTATTGATGTTCTCTATTGCCTGTGCCAAATTAATACTTAGTTTTGGAGATTTATAATAGTTTTGTAGTAAACTTCCTCCCAAGGGTATACGCTTAATTGTTGGAACTATTTCTTCTAAAAGTTTATAGGCAGTAAAATATCAAAAATATGATTTTGAAACTGATTAATTGTTGAAACTGGTTGATCACAAATATGAGAATGAAAATAATGTAAATTTGTATAGGTTTCAAGTTATAGCAAAAAAGAACTCACCTCACCATGGCAAATAAAGACAAAAAAGAAAATTAAAAGATAGCCCATTAAAAATTGAAAAATTTATTTGTATAAAAATACAAATAAACGTAGAAATATCATTCATTCCCTCTCCGCCTCAAATTCATAAAACGCTTCTCCATAAATTAATTAGAAGAAGCGACCTGAACTATTTATATGATGGGAAACTAAAAAAAGTACAAAAATCAAATCCAAAAAAGTATATTCTTGAAAGCCCGAACACAAAAAAAAAAACGCGCTTCATTTGCAAATAAAATAATAATAATAATAATAATGATGATGATGATGATGATGATGATGATGATGATAATAATAATAATAATAATTAGTCAACTGGGAGTATGAAACAAAATCAAAAGTAATTAAACAAAGAATAAACACACTTCATAACTGACCATATACCAATAAAAACCGAGACTCCATAATTAAAAAAAGAAAGTCACTCTAATTGAATGAAATATAAAAAAGAAATTCAAAAAATCCCATTTTCTAACAAAAACCCAATTAATGAATTCAATCCAAATAGAACTAAAATCATACAAAAATTCTAGGCTAACTAACCACATAAGAAATCACATCATATTACATGACAACGGCTACGGCAACTGTAACGGATGGATGCATAAAAATAATAGTAATAATACTATTCTTGAGTGGAAAAAACAGAAAATAATAAAAGCCAAACAAATGATCTGTGGAAATAAAATTATTTAAATTTTAATACCTGTAATTGCACCACCACAATGGCCGAAGCAAGATCAATGAGATTTTTTTTCCCTTTGTATTTATATAGAGAGGTAAAGAGAATATTTTTTGAAGTCGAAATTTATCCGATTAGGATGTAGTTGATCATCACTAATGAAAAGATTGAACATGCTAATTGGAATGGAGTATATTTCACTATATATTTTCAATTGATGATTGATGAGAAAATTTATTTATTTTTTTATTGTGGAGAAGGGATTGATTAGGGAGTCCATTGTGGTAGAGACGGGGATGAGGATTTGGGTTTTTTATGAACCCATGGTTTTTTTTTTTTGGCGAAAATAGGAGGTGGAGGTGGATTTGGACTGCATTTACTTTTTAAGTCTAGGAGATGTAGAAATAAAAATTTATTTTAAAAATATGATGTGAAAATGCCACATGGCAAATGGTGGTGCTTTCTCTTCAGTGTGAATTTTGTTTCTAATATAGTAAGACTAGTGATGTCTGGTCGCGCAATGCGCGACTCTGGCCCAGTCTATCTGTAAATCTTAGAAATATTTATATTTGAAAAAAGAAAAAATTTGTATTTGAAGCGATATATTTTAGAAATGTTTGAAGGATTTAGAAATGTTTTATAAGTGTGATCATAGAAATAATTGTATTTCACAAAAAAAAAGAAATTGTATTTTGCCATGTAAGTTATAGAAATATTTTATAAGTGTTACTTATTAAATATAAATAGCCTTAATGGAATATATGTATTGAAGTAAATGTTAGATAAAATATAAAAGCATCCTAATAAATTTAAATATTAGTAAGATGATTTATTGATGTTCGGTCGTGCCAAATCAATACTTAGTTTTGGAGATTTTTAATAGTTTTGTAATAAGCTTCATCCGCAGGGTATACGCTTAAAACAAAATTGACACTTTGTAATAAAAACATAATTGATCAATTTAACTTAAAAAACCACTCTAAATGAATGAAACATAAAGAAATTTTTTTTTTTTTAAAAAAACGTGTCACGTAAAGTGCAAAGGGAGATTTAGTAATTTAGTTATGGTTTAGACAAAAGGGCAATTTAGTACTTTCTATATGCCACGTGGCAATCATAGGTGTTTGAAAGGGAGGTTTTTGTTTCTAATATAGTAGGATATATATATATATATATATTTTTTTTTTTTTATTAATAAGAATATTCTCTTCCTAAACATATCCAGAAGTTCCGTACTGAATATAGTCAATGATTGATTTTCAAAAACATCAAATATTGATTTACAACTCCCATTCCTTCTGTGTCTCAATTGATTCCCCACAAACCAAACACCGCCTAAAATAACAAAAAGTACTCAATTATGCGAAATAGAACGACGCCGTTCGAAAAGTATTTGTCCCCATTACCGTGCCCTAATCGACAAATTTTAGGAAATTAGAATTATGTCGGACTAAGATTACAGACAGAAAGCTTCGGAAAGTGACCCAACTTGGCCGGACTCCGTTTTCTGTTACGCGATCTCCAGCTCGGTGAAAGGTAAAATGCAGAAGAGCTTTACTTTGTTGCAGACAATCGGCACCGCCGCCGTTTTCTCGGCCGTTTCCGGCTGGTATTATCCACCTTCACTTCACTTCGCAATACTTTCTCTCTTCTGTCAATTTTTTTTTTTTTTTTGAAAAGCATATTTTATTTAACGAATTGGATTGGGTCTCAGGTATGGGTATATGTTCGGAAAGGAATCGGCTCGTAAAGAACTCAACGAATTAATTGAAAACCTGAAAAATTCCAACCCGGACTGGTCTCCTCCCCACCCTCGTTCCTAAATTTCGGTGAGTTTGGGAACCCTGATTTCTTTTAGTGGTATAATGGTATTGATGATGCTTCTATGCATATTTTCGGATCATTTTGGTGTTGATATAATGCTCGACGTTTGGATTGTTGTTAATGTTCTTATTTTGACACTGCTTGGACTCTTTTAGGTCGTTGGTTAAATATGTGAACTTTGCTCATGTTATCGTAAGATCCACTCAGTTTGGTTATAATGAAAGTGTAGGAGTATTGCAATTTTACTTCAGAAAGTTACTGTAGGGTGCTAGTGTTTTTAGGATTACTTGGAAATCATGAACATTGGATGGACTTCTATATCTCTACATGACTTAGTTGGTAACTTTGTTTCCCTTTAATTGATGATCGGTTGTGAAAAGTTATATATGCCTTTAGAATACGGGAAATCAGAAACATTAAAAACTAGCCAGCATTAATTATAAATCTTGAATTTTGGATTGTCTAGGGGCAGGGGCTTACAGTTTCTGTTATGCCATTTTGATAGACTAGCGAAATGCATGAGTATTAATGAGTTTCTCCTGGTGTTTAAAACTTGCAGTCATTTGCGGAGTCGGTGACTCTCCTTGAACTAGAGTGCTAGCTGCACGATTAAGGCACTGGGATTCAAGCAAGAATCTGGCTGTAATTTTCATTGGCAACATATGCTTCATAGCCTGTTACTTCCATTTGGCCGAGGGACAAATTTATGCTAGTATGACCTGTAAGTGTTGGTATAGCTTTATGAACTGGACATGATGTTCCTTTCGTGGGGAAGAAGATGCTTTATGTAGTTCTCAGGAATTGTTTATTGTATGTATTTTGCAGTTCTCTAGTATGGCTAATTCAATTTATGATTCCATTGACATCGGTTTGTATCATTTCTGGTTGACCTGTTTATTGAACTTAAAGTTTGCTCCAGCATAAATTCATATTTAAAATGCTTAGTGCGTTATTCTTTTGAAGTAGAGCTGTGCACTAATCTTGATGGTCAGACATGGACGTTTGGTGTCTTTGGCATCGGTCCTAGATAAAATTGTTAGATACTGTTGAGACCCTAAGTGAGTTGCAATCTCAGAATCACTAGATTCAGTTTGCTGTCTCCCACCTATACCACTGTCTCTTATGCTCAGAACCCACTTCGCAGTTTAAATATATAATTATTGCGAGAGATCTGGAGCCAGGATTTGGTGCTTGCTCCATGCCTCCTGTCTCCAATTAATAAGATGTTAGGGCTGCTGCAGTTATACATTGCATGAGTGCTTCTTTGCCTTTCCAATATTTATAGCAAAATAGGCTGATTGGTTTTCTACCTCTATCTTCCAAAAGAAAGACAGATTTTGGATGTTCTTAAATCCGAACCAGGAGTCTGCTAGAAAACCTACATGGTGTTTTGAAGGAAACTGGACATTAACAGAAAGAATTCCTTGATGCTTTTATTGTTTGGTTTGCATTTCTTTCATTTGTTCGTTATATTTCATATCACAGAGTAAGGTGTACATTGTGGCTGGGAATCTGATGCATAAGTTAATGGATGAACATTCGTTTCATTTGTTTTGTAAAAGGTGAAGCCTCGTCTTCCACAATTTACTTGGAAGTATGGGAGCTCTTTAATGTCAATACATTACCTTTCTGTACAAATCAAATTGATGAGGTTCTCTAGCTCCTCATCCCTGTGTAACAGCTCACTGTACATACAAAGCAATAATGAAAACCAAGAAAGGTTTCGGTTATCTATATTGATTTATTGTTCTTGCCTTCTTTTTTCTCGTTCTGTTCACTATTCTAATATTCTAAAATAGTACAACTCTATTTTGAACGCATCTTTACACAAGGGCAGCTTCATTAATCTTCTTCGTCTCACCCTTTGCTGTGACGAATCGAACATATAATTCTGTCCGGCTGGAATCACTCTCTGGGAGCCTTGTGTGTCTACCTCCTTCAGACATGCTCTTTACAAACTCCACAAAATTTCTCCAGTTTTCTGGTTCAAACAAACTCTTGTTCATCCTCAAGTATGTGAACGCACTCAATCCATTTCCGGACTGTGATCTACTTGTTGCCACTACTTGGGAGAATGCTCCAGAATCATATCTTTCCAGAGCATTTTCTCCAGCAAGTTCTATTCCAGCTGTGCTGGTTGCAGTCTTTACTTGCCTTACTAACCCTTCCGGCGAACAACTTGCTGATTCAGGCTGTTGTTCGTCTCTCATTTCCATACATGTGAAATTGAGGACAACACCATGTTTACCCATCATTTGTGCTATCGGTAGGTAACCATCTCGCTGTCTCGTGTTGTAGTATCCTGCTGTTAATTCTGCTGCGTGTGATCTAGTTTTGTAGTGCCAATGAATCCCTGCTACCTTCCCAGATAGTTTAGCTCCGGTACCTCTGAATATCCCTTCAGCTGCTGCTAGAATTCTATCACCATGCTCCAATAGTTTAGCAGAATACCATTCCAGGAAAAAGTCTCCATATTCACTTTTCCATGTTCCATCCCACCTGAAAAATCCAGTGTCTTCAGGGAATTGATTGTACTGGCCGGCATCATGAGGCCCGCCTCGGCCCCAGTCGGTCTTCCCAATCGCCTCTGCTGATGCTTGTAGGGAAGATCTCATGTACTGTATCACATCAAATAACAAATCGTGAGAAACAGTACATAATTTGGAAGGATTGTAAGGATTTATCTCATTGAGAAATTGGTTCTATATTCACCTTGTCATAGCATTGAAATTCTCCAATTCCAGGAAACCTCCAGGTTCCATTACTTTCTGGATAAGATGGGTATCTTAGCTCTCCACACGGACCCATCCCAACTTGAATTTCCTGCAATACACAACAGAAATCGATGTATTTAGGCTTCTTTCCGAGCTTCGAATGTTTAGAAACTGCTTTAATGGAAGTAAGATGTCAATTAGTTGAAATCTTACCACTATGACATCTCCTAAGTACTCCCTGAATCTATCTCTGAAACTTTTCATGTAGTCTGAGTAGACCTGAACAGGTGTTCTTCCTCTGAGCACTGGTATAGAATCGCAACCCAGTGATATGTATTCAGGGTTCCTCCTGCCCGATCGGTCTGTGTAGACAAGATCTGGATTCTTGCTTATTTCTTCTAGAACCCATGGGGGCAATGGAATGCTACAAAATTCGACAGCAATAGTTCAGTAAAAGGTGCGGGAATATGCTGATTTCGATTCTTGATATATCTACTCGTTGCCAATTGGTTTTGAATTGGACACCCAAATCTTTTCAACATTTCTGACAATTATGTATATACTAGAAAAACACCAAAATATATGAAAGTATCAGTTTGTTGTTTACCTGCAGGAATCTCCAACATTTCCTCCACATTGATGGAAAGACATAACAGCTTGGAGCTTCAAGCCATGCTTTTGAACCATCTTCAAGAGCTCAGCATAACCTTCCCAGTTATACTTCAAGGGACCATCTTTCTCAACCAATCCCCACCAAGCATCAACCATTACACCTTCAACTCCAGCGCTTTTCAGAGCCATCAAACTTGCATTCATGGCTCTTGGTTTGTTCAAGTTCCCCCCAATTGATATTGTATCAAGTGGTAGCATCACAAAAACAGGAACCCTTGAAGAAGCACTACTCGGGCCGTGAGAAGATACTAATCCATGAAGCTTTTCTCTTTGCTCTGTGCCTCTCCTTCCATCTAGAACCGAAGAAGAAGGAAAGGAAGTCGTAATCTGATCACGCCAGACCTGAGTTTCTTGTTGCATTGAACTTTTCGCCCGGAGCCGGCATGATGGTTTGAACTGAGCAAAACAAACCATGCCGGAGAATTCATCAGGAGTTTTGAGACTACTGCTATCTTTTATGTTAATAAAAGAAGTAGAAGAACGAAGGGTTAAGGCCATTTTTCTTTTTTCTTTTTTTTTTTTTTGTTTTGTTTTGAGAATGAAGAAGATAATGAGAAGAGAAGTAGGAATTCAGGAAGGGTGCAAGCATCAACTTATAAAGAAGAAAAGGAGGTAGTTCTGGGATTATGAAGATGACAAAAAAAAAGCTTTTGTGTGGGGCTATAATTCTAAAAGGAAAAAAAGTGCAAAAGGCCAAGATCATGTCAACTTCATCCTTTTTTCAAGTCTTTTCCCCGAGTTTTGATTTTCAAATATTAATAACGAAGAGTCTGGCTTGAATTTGGCTACACGTTTTTTGGATCTTGATGTTCTCTACCTTTGAAATGTAGAAGTAAATTAGAAGAGTAAAAATGGCTTCTTTTCTGCATTCATTTTAGCATACGTACCACTTGAAGTCAGTTATTGCTAGGGTTAAACTAACTGACGTTCTTGGGTCCTCGTCATACTATGAAAATTCGAACTTTATGTCAAATGATAAAACGCGCGATTTCCCAAAAGCCAGCAAGCTAGTTTTGTTCAATTGTTGCTGTTAAAAACCAACATGGAACCAAATAATGAATGATTTTAGTGTTTCATTTTTCGGAATTTATTGAAGGGTTTGAATCTCACTAATACGCCACTAATTAGTCCTTTTGGCTATAGGTGTGGGGATCAACTTAGATGGACACATATAACAACGGATCGTAGTACCACTAACTGCTTCACTTAATTGCGTAACTCGTCTCCTGATTAATGAGATCATGACTATGTGCTGAACTAATGTTAGGACTATTGAATGAATAAGTGGTAGTTCCTATCTTATGTTTTGCACTTATCAAATGTTATCTTCTAGGTAGGACTAGGAGGATGGAACTAAGAATATCTTGAAGATGCCTTTGCTGATATTTTTGAAGCATTATTTAGCCAGGTAAGCTGGATCTGTCTTCTTCAAAGCAAGCAGATATAGAGATGGACGGAAGCTGATGATCGATGCCAATTTTGAATGCCACACATAATTGAATGGATAAACATCACTAAAAGTACGCAGCCATGTGGTCTTTTCATCGCCTTAGACTTTGATTTTACGTTTTACCCTTATTATTATCCTCTTGCGTGTATCTCAATAATGATGCGTATAATATAGCGAGCGTTTTCTTTTATTTGCATGAACTCCCCCACGTACGCCAGCTTTTACTTACCATGCAAAATGGACGTTAAATTTTATCGCCCGACAAATCTTCTATCACACTTTTATTTTATACTTTTACATGATTTAATATATATATATATATATATATATTTGGTGTAATTTGTAGTAACCTGACATTTAGATCATATGAGCTTTTATTTTCATTGTATGTAAGAAATTGTAGTATGAAGGGTCTGTTTGATGATGCTACTTAAATACTTAAAATTATATGATTAACCATTTCTTCATTTCGGGTAGGAGGGTTGGGTGGAGTGATTAGGGAATTAAGATGGCGGATGATTATTACCGGGAAGTCGAGAGTTCGATTCTTATTGGGGCCATCTAATTTTTTTTAAAGAAAAAACCACTTATTCATTTCAGCTTGTTTGACAACAAAAAATAAATCTTTTAATAAATAAGTGGTGTTGAAACTACAGTACAAAATGTAATTAATAAAACTTACCTTATTGTTTATTCCGTAACTGTTTAATGATTTCAGTATATATAATTTAGTATTAATTACTATTTTTTTTTTATCAAACCGACCCTAAATCTGATTTTTTTTTTTTTTTGGATATAAAAAGGTCAAGAAATCAAATATTGGAAAATTTTATCGAGTACGACATTGAGGAAAAAATTGAAAGTAATTTCTCTACAGAAAATAAATGAATTGTGTGATAGAATTTAAGAGTATTGTTAAACAAAAATGTCACATAACGATCTAAACTCGAAACTCGGATTTCATATTTGTTAAACTCATGTGAAATCCACTTGTCTGGGGGCATTTTATGTTCCAAAAATTGTGAAGAAAAAAAAACACTTGTTGGACCATGAGTTTTGTGTGTTTCACATTTCTCATCTCAAAATCCTACTCCATTTTGACCATGATTGGTTTGACTAATAAAATCAAAAAATTAAAACTCATAGTCTTGTCTTAAAATAATTCTTTACGAATTTTAGTAAATCAAACAAGATAATTATTTTTGAACAGATGAAGTAATTTTTTTTTCCCTTTCTTCTGTGTCGAGGTGCTAAAATGAACCAAAGAAAAGAGGTCATATCAATGTCTTGATTTGTTTGAAGCTCGAAATGTAGCGATCCACATTTTCAGAATTCCACTGATTCAAATCGAGAAAAAAAAAAAAAAACTTATGGAGCAAAGAACTTGAAGAAAACAGGTGATGCGGAATCCACCTCATTTTGACTCAACCATAAACCTAAAATTATATTGTTACTTGGCTTATGATCATTTTGGACTTCCATACAGTTATCAACCGATGTGTAACAAAGGGTTGGCATTCTTTTGCCAAATAAACTGGCATCAATCAAACCAAAGAAAACCCCACATAGACCTTCCTACGTTTCTTTGTTTCTTGTTTGGCTTATTATAGGTATCAATAAAAGTGCTCTATTTGTGGATGAAAAAAATAGGGATTTTTCTGAAATTTTCCCTGCTTTAAGTTAATTGGTTTAGGATAAGGGAGCAAGAAGGGTCTTCCTCATGAAGCAAAATATGTGGTTGTGATGAGTTTAATTTTGTGACAAAGTTGTTGACATTTGTTTTCTTGGACCCAATATATCTCTAATTAATTTATCATCCGAAATTTGAATTATACATCTTCATATTCCTGACATGCGACAGATTAGAATGTGGCACATATGCAACCGTTTGTGGAGTAGTTAAAAGAGTTCAATATAATTTGTGTAGAGTGATTTACATTATTAATATTTTCATTTATTACGTATTACTTTTAGTATGTTATGTGTTTGGTGTCTGAAATCACTTTTCAATATGGCTCGAGTAATTTTCTTCTGGAAAATAAATCTCTCCCACCACAAAATTTTTTTTCTGGCATTAGAGGACGCGAGAATCAATGATGAAAGATATGATTAAGTATAATAAACTCAGTGGTCTCGTAATAGGAAAATGCTACAAGACCTTGAAATCAATGATCAAAGCTAATGTACATAGGATATGAGGAAGTGGTTCGATCAATGATCTAAACTATTGGAATATAATTTTTTATTCAATTATAAATCATTGTAATATTTTGATCATCGACTTGAATATAGCCGGAAAATATACCAAAACGAAAATTAGGAGTCACCCTTGGAAATGCATAAAATAATTTGACATCAATGATATAGAATTTTCAATGACAATAATTTATGACGCATCACTTCGACTTTCCAATGGGAATAGTCTTTAAAAGTGGTTGGAAAATTAAACCTTACAAAAAAGTGGTTTTTTAAAAAATATAAACAAAAACTGGTTGAAATTCTTCTCTTTTTTTTTTTTTTAAAAAAAATCGAAAATAGTCGGATACTGAAATTATGCGTGAAATAATAGCAAACGAAATAAAATATATATAAATAAAAAATTTCTACGGCAAAGGAAAAGCGATGGGACAATATTCGACGTCATTATAATGTGTTCCCCACACGGAAAAAAAAAAATTTCGCTTCACTTTTAAGAATTCAGTATTTCATGAACAGAAAAGGATGGAGCAATTCTCCTTGATCGTCAATTAATATTACAATTGAGAATATTCATTTTCTCAACGATTTTTCTTCTTTATGATGATTACGTGCAAGGATTCGCCTGTTGGTCGAACCCAATGAAAGATAATTAATGAGTTTAAAAAAAGGGGGAAAAAAAAAAAGTAGACGGAGAAAGTGCAAAAATGGCAACATGCCATGATCTTTTTCAAATTTCCTCAAAATGAAAGCATCAAAGATCGGCCGAAATTTATAAAACTAAGTACTTACAAACAAAACTAACAAGCTGATTCCTTACTAACGAAAAATACCTCAAGCACTTGGTTCAAGTGGGAAAGGTATTGGACCAGTTTAATTATGATCCGGGTTCGAATCCAAGCATGGATATAGGCATGCAGTAGTTATTAAAATATTTATTGGGAGAGTTTTGCCTCTCGAAAGGCTCAAATCTATATTAGTCGGAACAATGACTTCGGACACCGGATGCGTAATAATAATAAAAAATAACCCTCAAGCGTTTCTTAAAATCTCACTTGGCGAATTTAAATCATATTTCTGGTATACATTTTTCTCTTGTCGTAAATGTCTAGTTTGGATTTCCATCATTATACTAATTTGTATTAAAAAAAAATTCTAAAAAAATGATATAAAAGACGGAAAGAGTATTTATTTGTTAGGATTACATTGCTTTGCATTGAAGTATATATATATATATATATATATATATATATATATATATATACACATGTAAAACTCGCTAATATTTTCTTATACGCATTATATACACTCTATTCAAATATCCCGAGTTAGCAGAGGAAGAAAGATTTGCGATAAGTCGGAAAACCAATTATGGAACTTCATGTTCTGGCAACACTCTTTTTCGATCAAATTAACGAGAACCAAAGAATTTTGGGTGCCAAAATTTGTTCTTATTGTTAGATGTCGGTGGAAATTAATTGAACGCAATAGTATTCCTCTTCAAATTGTTTTTTTTTGAATTTAGACTGAATCTTTAGGCATGTTGTTGGTGGGGGGGTCCTATATATATATATATATATATATTCCAGAGAAAATACCAAAATCTCCTCCAGCTGCTGTGGACACTGATTTGTGGCTTTTGGCTCGGTGTTAATGTCTCTGTGGAGGATGTTCAACCTTATCCATTTCTTTCTATTTTCGTTTCTCTATTTGATTTGCATTGATATTTCCAAATGGTAGAAAACGAAACCCTAGAGTTTTTTTCTTGTCATACAACATCTTCTCCACTTCAAAAATTTTTTATTTTAAGACGTGAATAGTATACATTTTTTGTGAATCTCTATTTATAAAG